TTTCAAGTATATTTAGCTTGTTTTCAGGATTTGGGAAAATAAGGGTAAAATAAGACAAATGTAATGATTAAGAAAATAATTTTTGCAACTAAAACAAACTTATTTTGTCAAACTTATTTCGAAGCTCTGTAAAACCTAAGTAAACAATTTCTTCTTATCATTTGTTCATGAATGACGCTTTTATACAAGCTGCTTTCTGCATCTAAAATCTTCTGCTCACACTCCCACTATGGATTATGACTTTTTCCCCCTTAGCTTCTCACTTCCTGCTTTTTGGTCTGTTCTTTTCCGGGCTCAGGATGCTGACTAGAGAATAGGAGGAGTAAAACAGAAGGACAAGCTCTCCTCATTTACCTCTTTTCCTCCAGGGGAGAAACATTACTGGACTTAACAAGCAGTGTAATAGAGCACTCAGGCTTTATTATATTTTCCACTGTCAGCACTTTCTCCAGTTACCACTGCATTCATGCATTTGTCCATGTTTAGCCACACTTACTGTCCATCTCGTCCTTCCGATCTACTCGGGCGAATGCATTAAAAAGCCATAACAATTGTGCAGAAAAATCTTTCTTTTTCACTAAGCTGCATCCCTAAGCGCAATGGTAGAGTGATGTTGAAAGGTCCATGCAGGAAAATATGCCAGATCACAGTAGTCCACTGCATCCTCCACAGCACTTAGATCAGACATTGTGCCATGCAAATTCCATTCAGCACAGATTTTGTAGGCAGTTTGCTGTGTGCTGCAGTTTGCATAATTCCTTTGGTGAATCAGTTGCTGAAACAATGCAGATGCAAATCAACAGACTTATCCACACTGCAAAAATCTTTTTCTTGGTCCATATCTTTGTCTCATTTTTCAGCATATTTATATAAACATAATCTTTTAAAGAAATGAAGACTTGTATTTTCAGAGAATGCATCAACAAAATTATGATTTTTAAAAAAATTTTCTCTTGTGCTCAACCAGGCTGCATTTATTTGATCAAAAACTAAGTAAAAACAGTAATATTCTGAAATATTATTAACATTCAAAACAGCCGTTTTCTATTTGAATATATTTTAAAATGTAATTTATTCCTGTGATGTTAAAGCTGAATTTTCAGTATCATTATTCCAGTCTACAGTGTCGCATAATCTTTCAGAAATCACTCTAACAAACAATTATTATGATTAATGTTGAAAACAGTTTTTGCTGCTTAATATTTTTGTGGACGTATTAAATATTTTTGTGATACACTATCAGTCAAAAGTTTGGGTTAAGTAGGATTTTATAAAATAAAGATGAATATTTTTACAACCGTAAGCTAGTAAATACATAAATAAAACTAATTATTTTATTCAGCAAGGACACATTAAATTGGTCAAAAGTGACATTAAATACATTTATAAGGTTACAAACAGTTTCTATGCTGTTCTTTTGAACTTTCTATTCATCAACGAATCCAGAACAAGTATCGGTCAAAATATTAAGCAACTGTTTTCAAGATTGATAATAATAAGAAATGTTGCTTGAGCAGCGAATTAGCATATTAGAATGATTTCTGAAGGATCATGATCAAGGTGACACTATAGACTGGATTAAAGTTGCTGAAAATTCAGCTCTGCATCACAGAAATAAATTACATTTTAAAATATATTCAGTAGAAAAACATTATTTTAAATTGTAGCCATGGGGAACATAAGAGATTTATATATTCTAAGTAGGCAGAGGACTAATATTATGCATATACAGTATATATATATATATATATATGTGTGTGTGTGTGTGTGTGTCTGTGTGCGTGTGTACAGTGTGTAATATTTTTTTGTACTAAGCAGGCAGAGTACTTTTATAAAAGGAAGAAATGCTGCACGGTAAAACCCAAAATCAATTTAGTTGAAGCATGATGCATCCATCTTAATGTAGATGATGGCACTTGATCCGTTCGGTATAAAGTCGCTCTCAAATAGATTATCTATTTTATTAAACCTCCAGCAGGCAAGCTGGATCACATCAAAACCTGCTTTTAAAAGCATGAAAGTATCAGAGGTGTTATTTGAAGCCCTGGCTATCTAGTTTCGAGATCCTGACATGCAAAAGCTTCTCTTTCTTTAGTGAAATCAGAGAGTAAGCAGTGCAGAAGACCCAGTAAGACATAAAAGATAGCTTTGAGGAAACATACCATTACAGCGAGGAGTCAAGCCAAGTCTGTCTAATCAAATACTGTTATAGGCACACATATATTTTTAATCTGTTGTATTCCTTTTTAAATGTGTCTCCTCACAATTATATTTTCAGCTTCTGGCTTTTTCTGCAGAGGGAGGATGATTATACAGACTGCAATCCCTTCTTCAAATGATACACTTGGTTTCCCAAATTGCAATAAGAATTTGTGTCTACCAACATGACAAAGAAAGGTTTGTGATTTATAAATACTTTCCCAGGTTTTCATAGTGCTAAAGACCCCATGAAATGGTTATTTGCTGTGGTAATGTATAACTTTGTGAAGAAAGAATTACATTTTAGCATACTTTTAAATAATATACTTTAAAAGAACTGAATGTAGTTTTTTTTGTTATTATTTTCATGTTATTTACAATTAAATGAAAATGTGTTATCATTTACATTTATAATACATGCGCTTGAATTTAAAAGTGCTCTTTTGACCCACTTAAGTACATCTTGATATGTAATTTCATAATTCTGTTGTCTTTGAAACTGACAAGCATTTATGGTAAACTTAACTATACTTTAATGTAATTTCTTTTGAAACTTTGTCATGCATTTAAAAATGTGTAATTAAACATTTGTTATAATGAGGGTGTAATTTAGTACATTTAAAATATGTTAACTTTAAATGTAATATCAAATTACATACTACATTTAAAATTATAATCAAGCATGTGTCATGTGCTTTAGTATGTTAGTCAACACATCAAAATAAGTGTACTTTAAAACATGACAACAGATTAATAAACCAAAATGATTTCAAATGTACTTTTAAAGTCAAACTTTTAATTGGATATAATTACAAAGCACAGATTTTAAAGTGTTCTTCAATGTGTTCAGAAACATAGTCACAAAGGAAAACCTCAGTGGCCTTTTATTTCTGCAAGTACAATTGTTTAAAAATATTCTTTCAATATTTGAAACATAAGCACACATTCAATACAATTATGCACAGTTCTTCAAGTGTATCCTATTAAAACGAAAAGTTGAGGTAAGGCATATCAATGGGACATTAACGATCAGACATTTTATTGTAACTTTCCTGCTCTAGAGTAATTAGTTACGTGGCATTCTCAACTCAGTTGATTAGCATATAAACAAAGACGGCAGATTTCATGTATGTGCCAACCTATCAGCTTCCATTGAGACAATTTGCTAGTTGTTATTGATCGTTTGAGATAGGTAGTAAAATAATTTAAGGGGAGTTAATGTTTTCAGTCTTAAGAGCTTTTTTCAGAACAAACATTTGTAGATCATTAATATTTTTGGTCCGTTCTGCTGCATGAGATGGACTTCAGTATACATGTACTAATGTTAAATGTTTTTTTTATCATGGTTTCGGATTTCACTAGCATATAGATGACTTCAAAGTTAACATACATTGAATTTTTCATTTTCATGGGGTCTTTAAACTGGCAATAAAAAACCACTAATTAATCAAAATAAGCATTTTTCTTACTTCTGGTGGATGCTTAATTAGTAGTTGTTAGTAGTCGGTATTAATTGGTAGTTTTGTGCCAGTGTAAATCTCCACCTATTCCCTTTGACAAATTGCACAGTCGAAATTACAAACAATCATTTTGATGAAAATCAGTCTCAGAGGAGACTTGAGCGATTGTTAAAACCTTCAGCAATTGAAAGAGTTTATAAGTGTGAATGTAAAGGTGAACTGGAGGTATTTTCCCGTGAGGAGCTGGCGGTGGATACGTGCTTCGGTCTATGACCTTGCATGCTTTTCTGCAGTAGTTTTCAGACTCAAGCGAGTGACCCCTGAGACCTAGCTGAGGCAGGTTTCTTAAGTATTGTTCACTTTTATTCCTCTGATATTTACTTCTGAGCAGTCAGGCAGCAAGAAATCGTTCCCTCTGAAATTGGCAAGCAAGTAGGCCATTTAAAAATCACTCACTGCATTATCAGTTAGCAAAACAGACAATTAAAAATCATTAGTCATTTTCTTGTGAGCATCCCTGGTGGAAGATGCGGCCGTTCGGATGTAACCTGCCAAAGTGATACAGGAAGGTCTTCATCCCTTGGGTGAAGAACATAAACGTCATTGACTTTAGCTTTGAAAGGTGTTGTAAAGCATCAGATCTACTGGCAGATAAACACGTCTCTTCTGAGAACTGGTCAAATGTTGGCTGATATTCTCTGCGTTGGACTGGAGCTTTGCGAAAGACTAGGTCAAGTTCTTAGCTTCCTAACAAAGGCATTAATTAAGCAGGGTTAATTAATGTCATAGTGAAGAGAGTCAGTTTGGGTTGATAAGATGCTTCCAAAGAGGAAGAGGATTTATGAGTGCCATGAATCGGAACAGGAGCAGAAGAAAGGACAGAGAGGACAAAGTAAGGCAGGTTGAGAGAGAGAGCGAGAATGCAGATGCCCTTTTCACTCGGCTGATAAAACTCAACTGCCTTTCTTTTTTCCCATACTGTCACCGTTTTCTTTTTAAAATGACTTTTTTTTCTGATATGTTTGGGTGAATGTCACCTTTGCAGATATTACTGTGGCATACAAGCAATCTTTCACCTTTCAATTTTTCATACAGGGCATATTTCTCACACACACACACACACAAAATTAGTAGTATAGAAGTGTTTACTAATGCTCATGTTATTCCAAACCAAAAGGCTATTATTTTTTCTATGGAACACAATGATTATTTAAAAATTATTAAAAACTTTTATGCAGCTGACTGTCAAGCTCCAAAAAAAAGGAATAATAAATAAATAAATAAAGCGTGTGTGTGTGTGTGTGTGTGTGTGTGTGTATATGTACTGTGTATATATATACAAAGTAAAATTAGTAGTATAGAAGTGTTTACTAATGCTCATGTCATTCCAAACCAAAAGGCTGTTATTTTTTCTATGGAACACAATGATTATTTAAAAATTATTAAAAACTTTTATGCAGCTGACTGTCAAGCTCCAAAAAAAAAAGGAATAATAAATAAATAAATAAAGTGTGTGTGTGTGTGTGTGTGTGTATATGTACTGTATATATATACAAAGTAGTTTTGCTTTCACAACGAAACACACAGCGTCACACACGGCGGGCTTGAGTAAGGAACGGCCGGCGGGCTTGATAATGGCGTGGCCGGCAGGCTTGTGGCAACCCCATGTGACGACCCCGGGCTGGACTCCGCTTCATCCACGGTGAAAGCCGATCCGGCGATCCACAGCGTGAAGTTGATGTATTTCCTCAGCGACCAGCACAGATCAGCTCCAGGCATGACAAAGTGGATATCGTCCTCTTTTGGAAGGCCAAACAAAGTAGTTTCATTTTCACAACGAAACACACAGCGTATTCCCAACATGGCGGCGGCAACAATACTACAGCGAGAATAAAAGTTACTCCTTCTTTCTTTGCGTGAACATTTGGGTGGCGTTATGCAAATCTTCCCACATCGTGACGTAGACATGTGGGGGCGTGCTAGAACGAGCCGTTTTAGGTAGGCGTGGTTGACTTTTAACTTTTATAAAGAATATCTCTTTGGATTTGAGACTTTAGTATTTGCAACTTTACAGATCTTCTTTATGCACCAAGAGCTTGTAACACTCCAAAGAGAAAGGAAAAATTTAAGTCGCATCAAATGACCCCTTTTAACCGATTCCATTGAGAATATCTGCATTATCCTGTGTTCTTGTGCATTTGTCTTATATGGACAACCAGCCTTTTTGGGGGACTTGAATTAATTAGTGTCATTGTAAAGATATATCAGATATATAATTTAAGGTCTTTATACTGTCCTTCAGAATACAATTAATTTATGAAATATGCTTAAAAAATCTACTCCTGTTAGGATAAAGTCAAAAAGGACAAAGCAGTGACCTTGAATTGTTTTTAGGTTGTTCTCTAATTTTAAGTATATTTTTATGATCCCCCCCCCCCTACTTTAATTTACCATTTTGCTTTAAATTAACAAGTTTGGACTTTTAAAGTATTTATTTTGGGCAGAAGGTCTACTGACTATGAACTATCATATAGAACATTTCTTAAACTTTTCTACTTTTGTGTTTCACAGAAAGAAATAACACCAAGTTTGGAATGAATGCAGAGATTGTTGTTTCAGATTATTTTTCATTAATTCAAACCATTGCGTTGCAAAAAGCCTGCAGAAATATCTAATACAGTCATAGATGCAGAATGGGACATCAAAGTTAAGGAGGATGGAGATTGTTTTGTGAGTAAGAGGATGAAGGTAATTGAGTGTTTGGGGGCCGGAGACGTGGAGATGGTACTGGACGGACAGCACCGCATGTGCGTGAGCAGCTGATGGAGCGTTTGCTGCTACTGCTGGCTGATGGAATGAAGCTATTAAACAGAGATGTTACTGGATGATCAGAGAGACGAGGCCAAGGTTACATTAAACCAAATAGCCTGAGCTATGACCATCTGTTGAACTGAAAATATCTTCTTCAGATGTCTCCTAAAAAAGACTTTCTTTTTAATTTCTAGAGAATTGTAGTACTTGGTTTTTGCTTGTCTAATCTACATTTGGTGTTTCAAAAACTAACTAAATTCTCCTTTCCATGGGAACTATTTAACCACCAATACATTGATTTGACAAGTTTTTGCCTCATAAGGTGAGCTAGGAAAAAGAGTGAAGGGATTTGTTTTTGTTTACCTGGCATAGCCAAGTATATTGTTAGCTTTGCTGGGTTTACTAAACATATTCCACAGTGCAGGTACAGTATAGAATTTTAAGCACAGATTCGTTGAGGTGTGAAATTGCTTGTGTATGTTTAATTGCATTGACAGATGTATTGAACCATCCCATGTCAATGGAGTTTTTCGCTCTGGTTTTCCTCTATGGTAACAAGTCATTAACTCGGCAATTAAAGTTATTTCTCTATGGGGAATTTGTAAGGACACTCTTTGACTAACATGTTGTTGTGGCGATTTTTTTGGGGGGTAACGACGGTTCCAGAATCCTGCTAGAATCAGGGGACAAAAAAACAACAAAATGGGTAAGTATCTTTAATAAGTAGACTTGCATATTTATTTATTGGACCCAGCACTTAGTTCTGCAGCCAGTAAAATGGCTGAATGCAGGAGCAATCAGATGTTGAAAGCAATGCATTTTTTCCCCCATCAGATTCATTATGAAACATGGTAATCATATAATTACATATCAGGCAGTGCGTGGATTGGGCATCACTCCGGGAGGGAATCTGGTTCCACTGTTTGCATTTTCATAGTTCTGTTAACAACTTAAAAGGTTGATCAGATTAAATATATTGTGTTGGTTGCATTTTGTCCCACTTGGCATTATAAGTAGGAAGTCCTTAAGGCGTTATGGGATTTGAAAGCTGTCTCAAAAGGTAGGAAACTTAAATATGCTGTCGTCTTCATGTAAACTTCTATTGTATACTAATAAACAGTGTTGGGGAAAGTTACTTTTAACGCATTACAATATTACGTTACTCCCTAAAAAAGTTACTAATTGTGTTACTTACTTTTTATGGAAAGTAATGAGTTACATTACATTTGAGTTACTTTTTCTCATCTAAGTGGGGCTTTATAAGTTAAATAAAACATTCAAAGCCTACATATCAAAAAGTCAGAATAAATAAACTCTTGTTTAATGGCGCAGATATACAATTTAAGAGCAATAGTGCTTTTGTTGTATTCTAAAGGGTCGCAGTCTCTAATGCTATCAATACGGTCTCACTTCACTTGGGTATCGACAGCTTCCCTCCAGCTCATGCTAATTGCTAATCAGGAATCTCATGAAGCTGGTGATTGATTTATTTAAGAGGGTGAGAAACGGCAGCACAGTGTGTTCTGAGATGCTCTGATTGTTTGTTTGCTTTTCCTTAAAGCTGTAATTGGGTTCTTGATCAGAGGAAGAAAACACAAAAGGAAAGTGGCAGATTAGTGCACGCTTTGTCAGGCACACACACACTGTGCTTTAAGAGTGGACAGGTTTCTGATTAACTGGGCTCATAATCCCTCTTGAGCTTCAGGAAAGGACTCAGTCTTTGGTCCAAAATCAGCAATGCTGTTCCGGTTCTGGAGGAACTACAGAGACGCTGCAAGAGCAGGAACAAGAAAGCCATTAGAGAAAGACAAATGAAGAGAGCAGAGACAGCTATTAAAGTGAGGAGAAAGATAAACGGGAACCGAGGGGAAGGCAAAGTTGGAATGGAAAGGAAGAGTGAGAGACATTTTGAGTAACATCGGAATGAGTCAGACTTGTGCAGAGGTGTGAGCAGGAACCAACGGTGAACTCAAATGTAAATCTCCAAAATTCCCAGGGTACAGTTCTGCTTTTAACCATTTGGCAATATGCTTTATGAGGCAATCTTTGGAAAATTTAAAGTTGGAACTGTGGACTGTTTTTTCTATTATAATATTTTCTCCAATCTTAGCTTAATTTGAGGAGTCAAATAGTAGTGAGAAATTAATAATGGCGCTTTTCCACTGCATAGTAAGACTCGGCTCAGCACGGCTCAGTACGGCACGGCTCGGCTTGGTTTGCGTTTCCACTGCAGTTTAGTGCCACTTTAGAGTGGGTGGGATTATTCATAGTTGCGCGCCTCTACTGCCGCGACTCCTGAAAAAAACCTTTTCATTCCGCGTCACAGCGCCATAAGATGATTTCCCCAAAAAGAATGTTGGTAGCCAAACAGTTGCTGGTAGCCATTGACTTACATAGTATGGAAATCAATGGTTACCAACATTGGCCTGCCCAATCTAACTATTAGTAAAATGAATTAATAATAATTTAGCCATAAATAAAATGATCCACAAGATGACTTTTCACCTGAATAAAAATAATTCATATTACCTTCAACTAATCTGTTAGTCCAGCAAACATTGTGTAATTTCATATCAACCCTAAGAAACTATATTTTTGTGGCCACAGAAAATAACTTTCTTATAGTATAATGCAGGAAAGCATGTAACAAAATCAGATCGTTAAAGGGACATTATCCACAAGCAGCGACAGAATCAGAAACTCATGTAGTTTGTGCACAAAAGTTTTATTAACTAAACACTAACACCTAACTAATCTAACAAACATATACTCACTATATATACTCACATGCATACTGTACATACATGGGCGAAGAGGGAGTTGAATTAATGAGACCATTAGAAACCAGAAAATGAAGTTATTGAAAGGAGTCAGTTAACCACCTAAGCAGAAACCATCAGCGCCATTTTGCAACGGGGTCTACAGCTTATACTAAATATGTTTCATTTAGTTAAATGATACTTGCATTGCCTTAGCCATTGAATGAAAGTCCAGATGCAGTCTTAGATGAAAGTCTTGATAGTTGAAGGTTCATTGGTGTTGGAATTGCGATCTTGTTCTTCCGGGGTTTGAAGAGTGACAAACTCCAAAGATGTTATTCTGACTCATTGGTAGTCGGGAGAACACGGTCAGACTGAATGTTGGAGAGACAAGAGGGTAAGAATGTCAAAGAAGAGAGAAGAGCGCGAGGTCACTCTGACAGTGCCCTTTAACTTCTGTGGAGGTCACACCTCCAGGGGGTCAGTGAGCCAATGGTAACTTCAACTTTCATAGGGAAAGTTTACGACTCTTTGTCTTCGAACATGGTGTTTTGCTTATGTAACTGGATTGGATGTTGATGCCGAAACTATTAAAGATTTTAATAATACTAATATGTTGCAGAGGTATCAACCTATAATATGCATTATCATTTAGATAATCAAAATAAGAATTCATAGATACCAAACATGGTATAGATGAGGTTACATTAACTAGCAATTCTATCGAAATGCATGCATAAAACAGTATACAATAAAAAAAGAAAATGTAAGTCTTTTAAGAC